AGGACAGTTCATTATGAAGCCATCAAATATAAGAGAGAGCGAAATGCTGGATTCTTATCTCCATTTGGATATTCTGCAGCCTCTGTTGCTGCAGCGGCTGATGCAGTATGCTCCATGGAGGTAATTGCTGCATTATATTGGTATTTACCTAAACAGAAATGCTCAGTTGATGATTCTTCTGAATGGTTTTATTCTGTGTTTTCCATCGAAAGTTTTATTTTCCCTCTTCTTTGGTTTTAGTATAATTTGTAGTGCAGGGCCTTACTAAAGCATTCTGGTTGATTTTGATGGCAGTGGTTTTCGCTTTTGGCTCTAAAAAGTCAGCTAAGTAAGTAAGGACTGTACTCTATACGTATTTGGAGGTGGCGTGGACATCTAATTCAGGTTTTCAATTAGGATAAGATACTTTAGGCTACCTTCATATACTTAAGTACTATTATCTGGATCATAGATTCCTGTAAATTATAGTTAGGAACCAACTTTTTTTTCAATACACAGTAGTTGGACATGAAGGTCCTGCTATTCTGCTCGTGCATGGTTTTGGTGCCTTTCTCGAGCACTACCGTGACAATATAAATGGCATAACTGAACGTGGGAACCGTGTCTGGGCCATCACACTGTTAGGATTTGGCAAATCAGAGAAGCCCAATGTTGTGTATACTGAACTTCTGTGGGCTGAACTACTGAGAGATTTTATCATTGAAGTTGTGGGTGAGCCCGTGCATCAAGTGGGAAACTCAATTGGTGGTATGCTATCAATGTTAACCTATTCTGTATTAGCTTATCTGTTTGACTCAACAATGTCATTATTTTCTTTGTTTATCTACTTATTGTATCTCCAGGTTATTTTGTCTCTATTGTTGCTGGTCTCTGGCCTGCTTTGGTCAAGTCTGTCATCCTTATTAACAGTGCTGGCAATGTTATTCCTGGATTTTCTTCTCGCGGATTTCTAATGTAAGTTTAGCCAAATACTTCATAAGTTTTCTGTTCTTAATTTGTGTTTAACCTTTTTTTTTTATGAATGATGGCACGTGTTTGTTTGTTGTTCGAAGCTATCTATTTTGACAGTATTGCTGAGTAATTGTGTGATCATTTGGCAATTTGTTTCTCTCTAGTATTTATTCTCGTTCTTACTCTGTTCCGTAAAAACTGAAAATGGGGTTAAAATACAAGTTTTGCTCTTGCTGTCTTCAGAAATAGCCTAGTATCGAATTAAAGTTTTAATAAACATCCCCAGCGTGTGATATTCGGTATATAAATGTTTTAGGAGAGGCAAGCCTTAGCTGCTGCAGGGCTGGTTGCTCAACTCCTTTTGTTCTATTTGAGGTTGAATATCAGGAACACGGTTAAAAGTTTCTACCCAACTGTAAGGTTTCCTCTATTGCTGCTTCCCATTATCTTGCTAACCTTTAACATGTTGCCTGACCAAGTTCAGTGGCTTTTGACTTCTGCAGAAAACCGACCGAGCTGATAATTGGCTTATAAATGAAATGCTACGAGCAGTATCCTCCTCACTGTTATTTGAAGTGCAAGATCGTGTGCACACACGTAAATATTCGGCATTATGCTAAACCACAAAATGTAGTATAGTGGAAGTAGGATTTAATATCTTTTCCCCCTAAAAGAATGACCTTAACATACTTAAGTCCAACGATCCTGGTGTGATAGTGGTCCTGGAAAGTATTTTCACATTCGACCTCTCGATCCCTCTGAACTATCTCTTGGAAGGATATGAAGAACGAGTTCTAATTCTTCAGGTAAAATCCCCTCTATTCCGAAGAGGAAGTTAATAATCTTTATCGTCCTTTATGGCGTGTGGTTCTTTTACTTACGAGTGTTTCTTTCTGTATATCTTTGCTAGGGAATGAAAGACCCTCCCTCAGACTCAAAGGCCAAACTAACCATGCTCAAAGAGCATTGTACCGGGCTTGTAATAAAGGAACTGGATGCTGGTATTAAACTTATCTATCCCCAAAATAATCTCACCCACTCCATTGCCTTTACCGTTCCCACAACCTTTTTGACATTACAAATTCACATATATTTTAGATATTTTATTTGTATTTTCTATTGATAATTTATTTTCACCCTTTAAAATATGATAAGTTTGATTACTTAACATAAAATCATGCGTCCGTCCCTACATTTCAGGTCATTGCCCCCACGATGAGTAGCCACAGGAGGTGAACCGCATCATCTGTGAATGGATAGTAGCTGTTGAAAGAAAACTAACCGTAAACTCTTATCCGTAGCGCTCGGCATTTCTTCCCAAGTAAGCCTCATTCTTCTATCTCGAAGCCGTGGTTTGTTAAACCCGGCTTAGGTTTTTGTGAGGCCTCATGTGTATCTTACGAAATGCTTAATTAAAATCGAAGAATCTCTTTATAGGCTAACATCTTACCTATATCCAATGAACAATAGCACAGTGTCAGTTCATGAACAATAGCATTGGCATTGCCATATGTATATCTCTTCCCTCGAGAATGAGGATATGATATATAATGCCATCTGAGCTCATGTTTATAGTTGATATAATTCAGGGATAATATCATATTCAATTCAAATACTTTAACAAAATATCTAATATGATACTTTGTACTTTTGATATGATATATAATGCCATCTGAGCTCATGTTTATAGTTGATATAATTCAGGGATAATATCACATTCAATTCAAATACTTTAACAAAATATCTAATATGATACTTTGTACTTTTGAATTGTTCAGTGTATTATTTGTTTTCCATAAAATATTCAATATGGTACCTAGGCTTTCCGGCTTACTTCAGATTTATGCCCCACCTTCTATTGATTTGAGCTTCAACTCCCCATGGCGTTTAATCAACAGAATTTGGATCACCTGAGCTTTGATTTTTTCTTATATTTTATTATTTTGCTTCGATATTTCTCTGTTTCAGTTTGTTTCTTCGCTCTTTTAGACAATTGTTTTTCTTTATTAAAGTGGCTCAGATGGTACCTTTGTAAAAAAAAAGAGAGTTGATATTCTTAATAAATGTCGAATTAATAAATAGAAATTTATAAATATTTTGATAATACTTAAAATAATATTTTTTTTGGTTAGTTAAAATAATAGTTTAAATATCATAAAATGTAAAAAGAATTGACATCACAATTCAACCACTTCTCTTCCAACTTTCCAGGTCCACGTACACCTGCATGGCATCATGGGATGAGTTTTAAAATAAATCAATTAAATAAAAATCTCACGACAAGAGCATGGCAGAATAGTTTATTGAATGCAAGTGTTATCGGAGGATATTATTGTGTAAACAAAATGTCAATTGAATTAAATTAATTTATTTTTTCTATTCTTTTTATTTTAAGTATTGTTTTCCATTTATGCATTTAAAAGGAAGCTTGGACTCACATATTTGATTTCAATGCCATCTTCATGCTTATAATTTTATTCAGTGCCTTTAAATTTAGGAGTCTTTTTCAAATATCCGTATTAATTAAGAGAATAAACTACATGTTTGGAACATTATAAACCAGAGATGAAAATGACATTTTTTAAATCTATAAATATCAAGTGATCAATTAAGCTTTAATTATTGAAAGGGACAACCATTGTACCCATCAATATATGGGATTGTACGGGGAAAGTTTTAGGTGCGGTAGTCTTAATATACAATTAAGGAAAGGTATTATTAGGTTATTATTTTTTTTAATATTTTCGGTAAAAAATTACTTAAAGCATTATTATTTCTACCGGAAATGTTATTATTGGGCGCTTTACCGGAAATGTTTAACATATCCGGTAAAACGCTACCTAAAATATTTTTTTCTACCGAAAATGTTAATATTGGGCACTTTACCGGAAATGTTAAAAAACATTAATGTTCTAGGTAAAAGAATGTTTTAGGTTATTTTTTTACCTAAAATATTAAAAAAATATTAACATTTTCGGTAGCATATTTCCTTAGCTGTATATTAAAGCTGTCGTACGATAGAACTACCGATTGTATGACTCAACTGTTTTTTTGTTTAAAGAGAAATAGGTATCTCTAAAAAAGTGTTAAATCAATTGTATACCATTATACCTTTTGTTTAAGACTGATTCATTAATTAGTTAATTTATACTTTTCCCATTTCTTTAATCATCATCGGGATAAGAGGCGAGTAAAACTTAACTCAATTCAAAAAATCGATTTTTTCGATTACTACTCGAATTGACTTTAAGTTTTAATTTCATAAACTTGAATCAATTTTTTTTTTCAAATTCAAATCGAGTTATAAATTATAACTCGAATAACTCAAAATTTTTATTAAATAGTGGATTGATTTTTAAATTTGAGTTGAGTCCCTCAGCTTTGTATGATATATGTATAACACATATGAAAATATATGAAGAAATATATATGTATTTTATATGATTATTAAAAACTATTTAAATTGAAATCAAATAGTATCATAATATTATAATTATTTACAATTAAATTTAAACAAAAACTCGAAAAACTCGACTCGACTTAAAAAAATTCAAATCAAATTTAAGTTATAAAATAAGACTTGTCAATTTAAATAGATCAAAATTTTTTTTGACTCCACTTGGTACGCTCACTTCTAATGGGGATAAACTTGTGCATAATTTGAGGTAATTGTTTACTAATTTGAGTATTAAATTCGTTGAAAATAAATAAATTTATTTAAAATTTTCCTGAATAATTAAATTAATCTAATTGATTATTGAAATATTATGTCAACGTAAGTATTAATTTACTATTTTTAAATAATTAAATCAATATAAAAAAATAAATATCAAACTAAGAAAAATTATGGATTTGAGATATTGATTTATATATAATAAACCTTAAAAAGGAAGAACAGCACACAAAAATTGCATAATCAAAATCCGAAAGCCTTTCCAGAAAGGACCTAAACTCATGTAAAAAGCTCAGAATTCCATTTTTTTTACATAAATCCCACTAAAAAAAGGCTGTTTAATTCCTCTCTCTCTCTCTCTCTCTCGATCGAGCTTAGAGAGGAAAAACGCCATGGATGTGAGGAAAATAGTAGTTGTGGTCGAAGACGTCGATGTATCGAGATCAGCACTTCAATGGAGTCTCAGCAATTTGCTCCGATACGGCGATTTGCTGACCCTGCTTCACGTCTTCTCGGCCACGAAATCGATGAGCAAAAAGAAAGCGAGGATGCTCCGATTGCAAGGCTATCAGCTGGCTCTCTCCTTCAAGGAAATATGCAACTCCAATTTCTTTAACGTGAGAGAGTCGAATCAGCTCCCTGTATTCACAGATTACGAGATATTTCTTATTTTGTTAATATTGGGAGAATTTTGTTGAACAGACAAATATTGAGATGATTGTGACGGAAGAGGACCGGGAAGGGAGGAAGATCGTGGCCATGGTGCAAGAGATTGGCGCCTCTGCTCTCGTTGTTGGGTAAAAATGCACTAGAGGTTACTGAACTATCTCAAAATAATCTTTTTGGTCAGCTAACTTTCAAGTTTTATACAATAGTCATTAAACTTATCGAGTTGAAACAAAGTGATCCCTGCATATTATAAAAGAGTAATAAATTTTGACCAGTTTAATGATTATTTTCTAACAATTTTAAAAAATTAATGATAATTTTATAATATTTAAAAATTCCTCGATTAAAAAGATCCTTTTAACACAATCCAACTACCCTCTAGTGCATTTAACCCTTATTTGTTTAATCTTTGTTTGTAGAGGTATACAAATTCTTGGGAAGTAGTTTTTTTTAATAAAGCCGGACAGTTTTACTGTACGATACTTTAATATATGTCTAAAATAAAGTCCTATCGGTTTTGTTATTAATTTTAAATAACAAAATCGGTAAAAATAACCGAAAGTATTATTATTTTTATTGGTTTTAATTACCTATATAAGTAAATGCGATAGAAAAAACTCGATTAAAAAATAATATTTTAAGTATCGTTTTACTGAAAATATTATTTTTTAACCGAATTTTTTTACCACATTTACCTATATAGATAATTATAACTGATAAAAATAATAATATTTTTAGTCATTTATTTTAACTTTATACTAAGACGCGAGCGTTTCCCAATGTAAAGGTAGCTTTCTAGGAAGGTACAAAGAGACTTTTGATCAAATTTGGGTTAGCCAATTATTGATAGTGATGGTATCGAAATGACCATCCAGCTCAGTTGGTAGAGCACAAGGTTCTAAACCTTGAGGTCTTGGGATCAAGTCCCACGGAGGGCATTTCATAATTTGGAGGTCTCCTACGGAAGCTGCTCTCAACCTGGTGTTGGGGGCAGCCTACTATCTTACCTCCCCCTTACCCCATACATATGGGAAAAAAGGGACAGCCATTTTTTGATGGTATCGAAAATTCACGATTGAAATGATAAAATTATTGTTCTTTTTCACTGATATCATAAATTAAAATTCGAATTTTTGCATTGTTCGCTAACCTTGACTTTGGATCAACCTTGGATGATTATGGCCAATTATTGATAGTGATGATAGAAAAAAGTCACCATTGAAGTTATAAAATCATTGTTTTTTATTGATATTATAAATTTGATATTGTTCATTAAACTTATACTTGGACAAGCATGTGGCTAGTCAATGATGAATAGACAGCCAAAAGAAAATTTTGGGTCCACTTTGTCTGCTAAGTGTATATATATTACATATATGTATTGGCAATAACTGTTGGGATGCTATTAAGATATGGCTTAGCTCTCTTGTCTGTTAGCAAGTTCCCTAAACCCTAAAGCATGGGGCGGTTATGAGGTCACGGGCTAGGAATTCTTATTAGAACATTATTAAACCACAAATTCATTAGCATACCAATTTTTATAGAACATTATCAGCATCTTTTATTTTCAAATGGTCCAAAGTTTGATTTTTTGTTACAAATTGAATATATGTACACACACTATCCACGGTTCACTCGAATTCTAATAACATGTTAGTAGTGAAGTTTTTTTTTTTTTTTTTAATAAAATGTGGCATTGTCTCCAAAAGCATATATAAATATTGTCATCTTTGTATATTATAATTTATGTTTTCCCATTGGCCCACAACAACATAGCAAACAGTTTGAGCTGCAGAGTACTTGCCATCAAACAGTCAGAGTTGCCACCACCGAGGGGCAGGAGCAGGACCAAAGAAATGGGGGAACTTCTGCTCTGTTCGTCCTGTTAAATAAGTGACCTGTTAAAATTTAATGTGGTTATGTTATATCATTTAATTAAAAATATTATCAAGTACAATAATATATTAGGTAGCACTTATATAATATAATAAGTAGTGTTTATATTGACATATTTTCTAACTAAACATGTATATTTAAACATGTAACATTGTAAATTTACCTATTACATTATAATTATCGGTTTTGATGTTTTTGAGATTGATACAATTTTAAATGTATCGACACTTTATGCGTGCATCTCGTTGTGCTTTCATTTTGGGAAAAAAATATCGACACATATTTAAAGAGTGTCGATACATAATGTAAATCTATTTGCTAATTAACCAACATATTTTTACCGGTTACATTGTAAAGTTACTTGTTACATAATAATTATTGATTTCGATGTTTTTTGAATTAACACTTATGCGTGCATTAGTTTAAATTCCTCAATCAACAGTTTCAATGACACAAAATCCTAACCAAAAAAATAAAACTAAAATGATCTAACTTTATCATATGGAAATAATAAGAGTATATCATAAGTTTGCGTTGAGAGATGTCTGTTTCTGGGTTTTTGTTCTTTGAGAAACTGATAATATGGTGGGTTTCCTAATGTTATTCTTTTGTTACTGCAAAGTTTTCGTTCTTTTCTTACTGGGTTTTGCTTAAAATATCAAACTTTTTGTATTAAAAATGAAAATTCTGAAATAAAAATGACCACACAAGCACACTTTTTTACTACCGGTTTTGTCATTTCGAGACCGATTTTGTCATATTTTTACCTGTTATATTGTTATGGATCGATACATTTTTATAAAGTATCGACACTTTATTGACGCTATAACTTTTTTTCTTTTAAATTCCAAAAGTGTCGATACTTATAATAAAGTATCGACACTTTCAACATATCTGATAGCTCTTTAACGGTTTTGTCATTTGGAGATCGGTTTTGTCATTTGAAAACCGGTTTTGTCATTTGAAGACTGGTTTTGTCATTTTTTTACATGTTATATTGTTATGGATCGATACATTTTTATAAAGTATCAACACTTTATTAACGCTATAACTTCTTCTCTTTTAAATTCCAAAAGTGTCGATACTTATAATAAAGCATCGACACTATCAACATATCTGGTAGCGCTTTACCTGTTTTGTCATTTATAGACCGGTTTTGTTATTTTTTTACCTGTTATATTGTTATAGATCGATACATTTTTATAAAGTATCGACACTTTCAATATATCCGGTAGCGCTTTACATGTTTTGTCATTTATAGACCGGTTTTGTCATTTTTTACCTGTTATATTGTTATGGATCGATACATTTTTATAAAGTATCGACACTTTCAATATATCCGGTAGCGCTTTACTTGTTGTCATTTATAGACCGGTTTTGTCATTTTTTACCTGTTATATTATTATGGATCAATATATTTTTATAAAGTATCGACATTTTCAATATATCCGGTAGCGCTTTACCTGTTTTGTCATTTATAGATTAGTTTTATCATTTTTTACCTGTTATATTGTTATGGATCAATATATTTTTATAAAGTATCGACACTTTCAATATATCTGGTAGTGCTTTACCTGTTTTGTCATTTATAGACCGGTTCTGTCATTTTTTTACCTGTTATATTGTTATGGATCAATATATTTTTATAAAGTATCGACACAAACCGACAAGCTAAGTTTGCCAGTTGCCAAATTTTTTAATATTTATTCATGATTTCTACCTATTACATTATTATTACTCGATATTTTCGATAGCGCTAAACCGAATTTATCAAATATCTTTTAAACCGTATATTAGTCCGCCTTTCCTGACACAATCCCAAAGAAATGTTACCCCCACTGAAGGGTTCAACTACCATGGACTTTTCCCAAATCGAAATTTCCGGTTTACAGTAAGATCTTAAACCCACCAGTTTTGTTTCCTCTTCTTTTCAAACTTTCTCATTTTTCCTGCACTCTTCCGTTGGATCACGAAACGGGTTGATGGGAACTTGTTAACATCTTTGCAAGCATCAAGTTATATTATAGCCGATAGTCTGTAAGTCAGGGGCAGAGATGGGGCAGGCCAACACCAGGGTTCAAGTGTCTAGCTAATAGTCCGGTGATGTGTAAATATTACCTTTTGACGTACTCTGACCTGTGATCCCTCATTCATTGTAGAGTACCTGATCTTCCTACACCAAAATTCCCATACCGGATCTGTCCAACACCTTCTGCAATTATTTGAAGGTCGAGGAAGAAGAGGGGCTATTCAGATGGAGATTGACGTTCAGACTTAGATTATAATTATTGAATCTAAAATGCACATAGTTTGTGAGCTAATCTTCACTACAATTTAAGTTTTATCTTACAATACACCACAGAAAATGAAGGGTGGAAATTGACATCATACAACATTGTTTTGTATACTTTAATCACTGAAAGAATGATTTAAACAACGTCGTGATTGTCCGGAAGCTTGGTGTATCCTCCTACACCAGGTTTTAACGCTCATCTCCTTTCCTTGCGGCGAATGGCTTGAGACCTTGATGGCTGTCCTTGCCCACATTGTTATTTCTAATGCTTTACCCATAATGATTTTATTGTTACTTATTTATTGTACCTAATTAAAAAAAAGGTAAATTACGTCAAATACCACTCATCTTTAAGCTCGGGCTCAAAAATGGCAGTGACGTTTCAATTTTGCCAATTTTAGCACGAACATTTATGTTTAACTGCAATTTTGCTACTCCTCCATTAATCTGTTAACGGGACGATAACATGGCGTTTCAATGTTGTGATGGTGATGACATGGACATTTTTTTTATTAAAACGACGTAGTTTTTTAAATGACTATTTGTATTCCTAAAATGATTTAGTTTTATAGTTTAGAGTTTTATTATTCCCGAAACCCATTAAATTATTCATTAGTATTACAAAACAAAATTAAAACGTTGAAATGGTTTCCCAAATACCACCCATCAGATGAAGGAACCAAAAGTTAAAAGAGTCTAAAAATTCTCTATCACTGAAAAATATTTCGTTCATTTCATCTTTCACTGCAAAAGCAAAATGGAGAAACGATTCCTGCAATCCAAAGGAATGTCAAGCATGAAATATGGTAATGGCGTTTGAAAAGCAAATTTTTTTTTTAAGATTTGTTCGAAATACTTTTAGGATTTTTTTATGAAAATACTCTATCTCTAAGTGTTTGTTGTTTTCTTCGTTAATTATGTAACTTAAACAAGGTTTTCTTTC